TTCTGCAGTCCTGCATGACTGATGGCAGTTCTGTAAGATGAATTGCTAAATGGTGTTATTAATAAAAAACCCTGAGCCAGATGTTTCAGTCATAACAGAGATCAAAGAAGCACAAAGGTGCCATTCCCATTCTGACTGCTAGCAAATCCTCAGCCACAGAGAGAGCTACTTCCTGTATATTCATGCCTACATCCCTTTCTGTGCTCTGCCACCTTACTTCCTCACTCCTCCTAGCTACATCACTTTCTCTTTCCACACAGCTCTATCACTTCCTGTCTGTCTGTACAGACCTCCAGACCTCTTTGGTTAACTAGCACTGGGATTAAAGGCATGAGCCACCACCCATGGCTCTGTTTCCAGTGTGGATTGACTCACAGAGATCCAGATGAATCTGCCTCCTGAATGTTAGGAATAAAGGCTTGTACTACCACTGCCTGACCTCTATATTTAATATATTGGCTAAATTTTTCCTCTGATCCCCAGATAAGCTTTATTGATTTGCACAAATAAAATATCACCACAGAGTTCTAGGCAGCCTGATCAACTCTTGTGACATCAGGGCACAGAGTTGTGCTTTGAGTCCATCAAACCCAACAATTACTCCATCTACAAGCTGCTGGAGCACATGGAGGAGCAGGTCTTGGAGAACCAGTTGTCAACCCTAAATAGTTCAGGTCCTAGGTGCACCTGCCAGACCCTAACTTGGGGATGATGTGCTGTGGCAGTACTGCTTGAGCTGCTGGGAGACACATCTGGTAATGATATGGGGTGGGGGCAGTGGCACTTCCAGTGGGCTACAAGCATAAAGGCAAGCCTGGCAAGCCTTGGGGAGGCCAACCTCAAGGAAAGAGAGGTGGGTGGCAGCCTGAAAATCACAGGAATGTTCCACCACCACTCCCTATCAGAAAGCCCTACCTAATCACAATCCACCATGACTCTGGGCAACAACAGGATATCTGAGATGAGTCCCAGTGGTGGTCCAGTATTTATGGACTAAAGAAAACCCTGAAATTGATAGGTGGTGGTGGCTCTGGGCATTAATCCCAGCATTCTAAGCAGAGGCAGGCAGATCTCTGTGGAGTTCAAGGCCAACTTGGTTTCCAATTGGAGTTCTAGGATAACCAGATAACCAGAGCTCTTATTCAGAGAAACCCTCTCTGAAAAAAAAAAAAGAAAGAAAACAAAAAAGAAAGAAAAAAAAAAGACAACAACAACAAACTTAGCCAATGACTAACTGCATTGAACATTTGCATGGAAAGTTCATTGGGCACAATAATATACTATATGAAACACTGAAGTATTCCAATGTCCTTAGGCCTGAGAGGGAAGCTGAAAAATTCACATCTCAAATTAAATCAGAAAGCAGAGAGAGCTAATGGAGAAGGCTAGGCTAGTTAATGTCCTTAATCTCAAGAACAATCCCAGTGATGGAGTTCTACCACTGTGATTGCTATTTTTGTTTGTCAGCTTGACTGCATGTAGAATAAACTACAACCCAAAAATGGAGGGCACAACTGTGAGAGATGATTTTTTGCTTGATTTTTTGTGGATAAAGATCAGGGAAACACCTATCTTTAATGAGAATCTGTAGTTTTTCAGACACACACCTTTAATCCAGATCTTGAGGCAAGAAGACACACCTTTAATTTTGGCCACACCTTCTGCAGGTGGAGTATATAAGGACATGGAAGAAGGAGGCTTTTGCTCATTTCTTTCTTGCCCTTGCCTTGTTACCAAGCCCATTCCTTCAGTGGAAATTGTTTCTACTTCTTTGGGATCCCAGCATATACTGTAGACCTGTCAAGAGATCCAGCTTTGTGGACCAAACCTCTTTTGAATTCAGGGACTTTCAGTTCACATTCACTCATTGTTGGATTAGCTGGACTGCAGCCTGTAAGTAATTCCAATAAACTCCAGAAAGAGAGAGAGAGACAAAGAGACAGAGAGAGACAGACAGAGAGACAGAGAGGGAGGGAGAGAGGGAGAGAGGAAGAGGGAGAGAGAGGAAGAGCGAGATTGAATCATTGCATGTTACCCTGTTGTTATTGACAACTCCATGGGTCTACCACCTTATGTTTCCTGAAATAGGCCAAAAACTGGTGCTCAAATGCCCAGATTGTTGTCACATTTCTCATGCAAACTACCACAGTGGTTTGTTAACCTTATCTCAGGCCTTTTGAGCACTTGATTTCCAGTAGCTAGTGCTGTTTGGAAAGTTGTAGAAGCCACAGAGGTGAAGCTTTCTAGGAGTAAGTCACTGGTGCATAGAGAACTCCTAATGCAATGTCACAAGACACCTAACAACACAGCTCTATAAGGAACAAGATGTTCCCAGACCCATAGATTCTACCTGTGTTGAAAACCATAGTGCAAATAAACCATTCCTCCCCAGTATTGAGTCTTAAGTGGGCCTTGATCATAGCCATGCTAAAAACAACAAGGTCTCTGTTATGGTATAGAAGCTGAGAATAAACGATCTGACAAGCCATGATTGGCTGGTTGCTTATGGTGAAATTGCAAAGAGGCAGTATGAAGAATACTAGATACTAGTCCCGAAGGGGCACTGCCTGCCACTGGGCCTTGTGCTTGTACATTGGAGTCACTGTTGGATGCCTTCACGGCAGGAAGAAGGGAACAATGGTCCTGATAGATTTGCAGTTCTCTAATCAACTGAACCACAATAGTGAGGGTGTTTCCTATTTTGTTGGTTTGCTTCCTGGGATTTATGTTTGCTGTTTGATATTTATATTTATAACGTTGGCTTTTGTTCTAGGGTTAATTTGTGCCTGTATTGTCCCACTGTTCATTAATTGTTATCCTATTTCATTTTTGAAAATTAAGTCTCTTATTTCCCTTTTGATTCTGTTTACTGTATATAAACATATGCCACACATACCCAATTTGATTATACCATGTGGTGATATATTGTATACCCTAATAAAATTGCTTGAAGATCAGAGAATAGAAAAAGCCATTTATTTAAAAATAGAGACAGGGCAGTGGTGACACATACCTTTATTCCTTGCACTCAGGAGGCAGAGATCTCTCTGGATCTCTGTGAGTGCAAAGCTACCCCGGAGTACATGAGATTGAGTCAGTCTAGGAGAGAAACAGAGCTAGGAAATAGTGGCACACACCTTTAATCCAGTACTTGGGAATCATACTCCTTTAATCCCAGAATTAGTGATTTCATACCTTTGCCTGGGAAGCACCTATGTCTTTAATTCCAGCAGTAGGAGTGAAGTGATAGCTGGGAAGAAAATAGAATGGAAGGCATGAGGAGACAGGAACTAAAGCTTTTCAGGCTGAGGAGTCTTAGAGTTCACACTTGGCAGTGGCTTATTCATTTGTCTCTGTGATGTTTCATCATTACCCCCAAATCTGCCTCGGGACTTTTGTTAAAAGTCCTACTAGATTTCGTACTACAAAACATTTCCATATGTGCCTGTACTTTTCCTTGATCATATTTCCCTGCATTATTTCAGTACCCCCACCACATCTTTGTAACTGATACTATGACTTTTACAAAGGCTCAGCTTCCTCTGTCCTCATGACCCAAAAGAGACAACATATATCCTATTTCTGTATGTGGACCTGCTTTGTCTCACATAAAACTACATCTAGTTATAGGTTTTTCCTTATAACACAACAGAACACTAGTCACGGTGCTGAGTGTGGATCCTTCTCCACAGTCTCCTTATTCACTATGATGTTTTCCAATTTGATTGTCACTAATTTAACTTTTTATGCTCCTGGAAGATGCAATTTTGATTGTGAATGAGGGGCTCTTTTGTGTGTTGCTGGGATGGATGTGGAGTATCAAAGACTCTCATTAATGATTTTCCAATCTGTATTCATCAAGGAAAGCTGTTTGTACTTTATTCATTGAGCTTATTTGGTTGTGGGCTCAGGGTAATACAAGCACTGAGATGAGTTTGAATACATTCCTTAGCTTTCTTTTTCCTGAGTCTTTTCGGTAACATTGGTGTTTGTCTTAATTAGGGTTTCTATTGCTGCCAAAAAGAAATTCATGAACAAACCACAAACAAACAAACAAACACCACAGAAAAATTTTGGGGAAGGAAAAGTTTTATTCAGCTTATACTTCCAAGATTGTTGTTCATCTCCAATCAAAGCCAAGACATCAACTCAAACAGAGCAGGCTCTGGGAGGCAGGAGATAATTCAGAGGCCATGGAAGGATGCTGCTTCCATGATTGCTACGCCTGGCTTACTCAGCCTGCTTTTTATAGAACCCAAGAACCAGCCCAAGGATAGCACCACTCACAATGGGCAAGTGCCTCCCACATTGCTCACTACTTGAGAGAATGCCAGACTGCTGGATCTCATGGAATCATATCATCAACTGTGGTCCCTTCCTCTCTGATGAATCTAGTTTGTATCAGGTTTACCAGCAAATCCCCCAGCATAGTTTTCATTCATCTGCAAAGTTTTGATAGATTCAGGGAATCCAAGAAGCCTGGGCTCTACTTGGCTTGAAACCATTTTTGTTACCAGCCACACCTGTTGCTTATGACTCAAGTCTTTAAGTGTTTTCCTTTTATCTTATTTTAATAGTCACACATGTCTAGCAATTACTTTTATATTTTCTAATGTTCTGTGGTCTAGGAGTTAAAACATCCCTGAAAGATCCTCTGGACTGTGGTTTGGTTAGGACATGACCTCTCTTTTTTTTCCCCTGTAAGTTTGTATCTTAAATCTCTTGATCAGTTTGGGCCAGGATTTTTCAATTTGATACATTCTTGAAAAATGACCAAGTCATTCTATCTCTGATCTCAGTTTCTTCCTTTGCATATATACATCAGCAATTCCATATTTGAGCTTTACTATGATTCCTCATCTAGTGCTTGGAGGTTGTGTTCTTCTAGTATTTCTATGTCCTTGACCTGCATGATTAGATTATTTGGGATGTCCCACATCCCATGACAGAATTCATAGCACTAAACATCCATTCTAAAATTTAATCTATTTTTGTTTCAGGTATTGTTAGTCCCGGGAACAGCCAACAAGATACAGTGATTGAAATGGATTTGAACATCGTGGGCAGCCCCTTGGAAGAAAACATCCTTCAAAAGGATTTCAGGATCTTAACATCTCTAGGCTCTGGTGGATTTGGGGAGGTGAAGCTTGCCTGCCACCTTCCTACACATACACATGTGGCTGTCAAGGTCCTGGAGAAGACAAAGAATTCTCTGGCTGACATCAACACTGAAGTAGAGATACTTCAGTCTGTGGAACACAGAAACATAGTTCATTTCTTCCATGCTATTGACACAAGTTCAACCACTTTTGTGATAATGGAGTGTATTGCAGGAAAAGACCTGGAATACTTCCTCCGGGAGAGAGACTTTCTAACAGAGGATGAGGTCAGACCAATATTCCAACAGGTGGTTTCAGGAGTTCATTTTCTCCACCAAAAACGAATTGCCCATCGTGATATTAAATTGGAAAATATCCTTATTGACAGAGCTGGCCATGTCAAGCTCTGTGACTTTGGTATGGCCAGACAGCTGGCAGAGGGTCAGATGTTGGAGGAATTTCGTGGCACCTTGTTCTATTTGGCTCCAGAGATATTGGCACGGAAACCCTACGATGGCCTGGCAGGGGATATGTGGAGCTTGGGAGTCCTCCTATATGTCCTGGTCACAGGACAATTTCCATATAAAGTACCCAAAGTGGAACATATGTACAAGGTCATCACCACCACAAAATATCCCATTCCCTATTACTTGTCAAAACCCTGTCTAATCATCATTGAACAATTACTTATGGTCCCCGCCCAAAACAGGATAACAATAGGTCAGCTCCAGGAGAGACAATGGCTGGGCAACACTACAGAACATGCAGCCCCTGCAAATGAGGACATCCTTCCCAGGGTCATGGAGACCATGTGCACCATGGGATATAACTGTGAAGACATTGTATCATTCTTAATACACAGGCAACCAAGTAATTTAATGGCAACATTCAATATCCTCAAATACAAACTGAGCTGTGGGGACAGCCATGAGCAGAATCAGAAGCCCTGGTTAAATGGCAGCCCTATAGGTGCTCCTCGCCTCCTTCTCCCCTTGAAGAGGAGAGCCAGTGAACCAGCCTTCCCACCAAGTACAGGAGAAGGGAAGAGACATTTACATGAGGTAGGTGTGGAAGGAAGAGGCAGGAGATGCCAGAGCTACAAAATGCTCAACAGTTACTCATGCCAGAAAATAAAGCCCCGTGCTGATAAAACTGTCCCAGAAGGATATGTCCTGATGGCTAACGTCATCAACAGTGCTACAAAACATATTGCAATCATCATGAAATCTGTGGACAGCCAGCCTGGTGAACTCTCCTCAGGTGAATCAGCCCCGGATGGAACACCCACCAGGTTTCTGAACATGGACTTCTCCAGAGAGGAACCATTCATTGGACACAACATGCCCAATGGCCAGCCCCAAGATAAATCTACATCCTTGGGATCCAAGCCACTAAGAGGCTGGAAGCTGATGAAGAAGAGAATTTCCCATGCACTGAGAGCACTGTTTTCCTGCTC